AACAGCGACCGATGAGACGATGACTGTCGTATTGATGCCTCCGCGAAAATTGGGGAAGTTGGTTTTGAGCAAACAACCATGAATTGATCGTTCAATCTTCAACTCCATTGACACTCCCCGGCAAAAAAGGGGATCCAACCCCTTTTTTCCTTCACGACCAATGCACGTTGACTTGGATGCCATTGCGAGAACCTGGGTCACACGGACAGAGGTGAAATGGAAAACAAACAGAAAAGCCAGCACACCACAAGCATACCCACAGCACAATCTCACACATCGCTGACGACCTGCGCCTCCAGAGAGACCCCCTCTTGACATCTTGCAACACAATCGCCACTAGCTAGAATGACTCTTGCAGAATGCAACGTGACCATAGCACCAACTCACGATACTCTACGCACATCCTCTTATCTACTCACTACCAATTATCACTGCAATCGCTTGTCACTCATTCTGCCTCAGTTCTAGTAGCGGTGACGCATGCGAGCCTCAGTCGTTTACACTCTTTCTCCCCGGCGTGTCGGACCGCAGCTAACAATTATCTCCGTGTGCATTTCATTCTCAGCAATAGCCTAGCCTCCCCGGCGTATACGACCCATCTGCTGTCCTTAACATCAATCAATTCATTCACGAACGTAGAAGACTAGAAACAACTTCAGAAGTAATCACGACGAAAATTTTAACAAAATTACGCAATAACAACAAGATACGAAAACAACAAGTAAACACAATGAATCCAAAAAACACCAATTGATATGACACACCACACATACATACAAACAGTACACACAAACTCGCGGATTACATCTTGATGGAATTCCATTGAAGAATCGCAGGACTTACAGCAGTACGCCTGCAACCCTTCACAGGTTGACGATTGTAAGTTGTGGAATGTCCGGACACAAACAAGATTAACCAACAATTACAATAATTGGAACTCACACAATTATTTAACACAAACATATGTACAATCAACACATCAAAGTAGTGGATTCTGCCTTGACGAACTACCCTTGAAGAACTGTAGGACTTACACCAGTACGCCTACATTCCTTCTCAGGTTGATGATCCAAGTGGAAGTCGTCCGGACACAAACAGATTTACCAACAGCTAGATGACAGATGGCATCAATTCAGTATATACAATATTAGCTTATGTACAAAATCACACACCGAGCACATTGGACTGATCATTGATGCGCTACCTTTGAAGAATTGTAGGACTTACAGCAGTACGCCTACAACCCTTCTCAGGTTGACGCCCTAGGTTGGAAAATCGTCGCAGAGTTCATTTGCTAACTTCCTTCTATCAGCTATATCCTCAAATCTGAACGGCAGCACGCTCATGTCATTGTATCGTAGAATATAGATGACGAACAAACACACGACATATCTCATCAACCAAGCGTAGAAAAAGAGTAATTTACACCAAAGATAATAACATTCAATTAGTAACTTGAAACAAGAAATGCCTTTATTCATGCAAGTCAATTTAACAATTACTCTCTCGTTTACACTTGGCTTATCCTCTCTAAACTGAGCAATATCTTTCGTCCTTTCAAATGCACCAATACTATTATAGTCATTGCAGAAGATACTTGAGTTGATGGGCGACTCTTTCATTGTGGATGACAACACCAACGATAACCGATTGATACCAGTTGATGAAGTTAGCGGTGGATCAGAAGCTGTTGTTGCTCGACTTTCAGAAAGTTGGCTACCTGCAAGACCACCACCACTGCTGTCTTTCACTATAGTTCGGGTTTAGCACTATCATCTGATGATAGGTGGGCTACACGCTGATCAATTACACTGACTGTCTCACAAGTATGCACACCTTCTGGAACTGCATCTGCGTTCAATTCTACTTCACGTTGTAGTTGTACAGAAACTTTGTTCAACTTATCAGTAGTAGGCATTCCCCTCATCTCATCATGATCAACCAAAGACAAATGTAAAGTATCATGATCATCATCACGAATATTCACTTTACCGTCAACTTCATCAATTTCAAACTCTTTAATAACAGAAGTAGACAATTTTGTTTCCTCCTCACAAATCCTAAAAGGTTTTATAACTTCACTCTGACTAGTAATACCTTGTAAACTTGTAGGGTCAGAACTGCACTCTGAAGCAATAACTCTATTCTGTGACACTGTATTCAACAATGGCTTACCAGTTGCAATTACAGACTTCTTCACCGCACCGTTATCGTCACACAATTCGGAGTCAGGCCTGGAGTTTACATTTAGCTTATCACTGAACTTGCTCACCGGTTTACAGTTCACTTCTGTATGCACCTCTCGCAAACGTGTAAAACACAACCGTGTTTGTCTTGCATCTTGTAACTTATCTGTTGAGGATGTACTACGTATCCTGTTACCCTCACTAGATCTATATGCATTACTAGACATCAGGGAGCCTTCTCGATATCCACCTCTCTGAGGCCTACTCGTCATCAATGATTGCATTTCGCTCTCAGACTGCTCTATTCTAGGGGTGAGATGTAATAGACTGGCGAACTTGCTCATAGATTGATTGACACTATCTTTTACTAGTTTCAGGATATCATCAAATTTTGGCTCGATACCCTCATCCTCCATACGGGAGCTTATCTTCACCCACTTCCTTTGCAGTCGAGTAGGTAGGCGTCTTGCTATTACTTCTAGTATAAAACTCGAGTTGAGGTCACTCATGCGATTCATCGAAATCATTGCATTCTTGTAAATTAGCAAATTATCTAAAAACTCAGTAAGTGCCTTGGATTCATTCTGTAATTGACCACCATTACCCTCAACAGCCTCGAATAATTTCCCCACAATCATCGAAGGTCTTCCAAACCTTTGACGTAATATGCTCATAGCCTCGTAGTAGCCCTCTTCTGGCTTCATAAACTTACAGCACATAATAGCTCTTGCAGCATCTCCAGTGCAATATCTCATCAAATACATTAACCTCAATTCATCATTTAATAGAAAACTATTCACCGTGATCTCAAACTCCTTTACAAATTGTAAATAATCAGCCGGGTTTCCATCAAAACATCGTGGTTCTAATTTAGGGAGTTTGATGTTCCTATTATCCCTGAACGGCGAAACAGTAACATCAACCATGTCATGCTTAACATCAGACCCATCGTTACAATTAACAGACAAGTCACCATGACTTACTTTCCTGTTTGCATCCAAGACGCTCTGTCCCTTCTTTGACCCAGGCATTGTTGAACTTGGCCCAATTCCAAAAATGTTCCAGATATTGCTTGTTCAAAGAGGACTTGACCGGCACCAGGAAAGATGAACGGTGACTATCCAAACTGTTACCAGCTATCTGAATCGGCCAGAATCTGTTTCTACCGTCAGAAACTGTCAGTCACGTCTCGTAAACCGTTAATGCCCAGCTCTTGCTACGCTCGGGCTCACGCTGTCGCTTGAAGTTTCTCAGAAACGCTTAGTAATAACGGACGCGAAAACCAAAACACCAATTGTTGACTTGAGGATTCTTTATTGTTACACCAACATATAAATCAAGTATGTCTAAGGTCTGTGAACAAATATTACAATAATAAATCACAATATTACTTCTGACGGTGTTTTAATCTTCTTTCTGAACAGCGACCGATGAGACGATGACTGTCGTATTGATGCCTCCGCGAAAATTGGGGAAGTTGGTTTTGAGCAAACAACCATGAATTGATCGTTCAATCTTCAACTGCATAGACAGCTTGTCTAGTGATGTCACTTGATGGTTTCCTCAGCGTATGGCCAATCCATCCCCATTTCTTCCTGCCTATTTGTTTCACAATCAGTTCCTGCTGTATTGGTTCGTCCATTGCCAGAGATACCCCCTGTTGCTGATCTTTTCTCGCCATCTGATTTTGAGTATTGAGCAAAGGCAACTTTTAATGAAGGTCTGAAGTTTGTTTGAGGTGCTCTTTATGACGCGCTGGACAAGTCTCTGATCCGTATGGTGAGTAGCACTGACTTCACATTGGAGTTGAAAATCCGGATCTTATTTTCACTGTCATGCTGAGTGCTGTTGACCTCCACACAGATATGAGAGTAATGAAAGCTTGTCTTGCTTTTCAGATTCTGGCTTTGATATCCTCGTCAGTTCCGCCTGTAGTTGAGACGATGCTTCCCAGGTAGGTGAAGGAGGCTGTTTCTTTCAGGTTCTTCCCATTTATGCAGAGTGTTCTCTGTTGTTGTTGTTGCTGTTGATGTTGGCTAGGAATCTTCATCACCTCTGTTTTATCTATGTTCACTTGAAGTCCTATCTTTGATGCTTCTTCTGCCAACTTGTTGCTTTTCACTTGCATATCTTCCAGTTTGTGGGAGATCAGACATATATCATCGGCGAAATCCAGATCCTCCAAGTCTCTTTTTGTGTGAGTCCATTTTATGCCTGTTCCCTCGTTGGTTACCGTTGTCTGTCGCATTATCCAATCTGTTGCAATCAGGAAAATCATTGGTGATAGTAGACAGCCTTGCCTCACTCCCGTCCTCACTTCGAAGGCTTCCGTAAGTTTCCCGTTGTGGATTACTTGGCCTGCAGCATTGTCGTACAACTAAGTGTTGGATGAGATGTATAATTGTCGATGGGACCCCGTAGTAGCGAAGTAGTTCCCAAATGACCTCTCGATTGACGCTGTCGAAGGCCTTTTCAAAGTCGATGCAGCTGAATGAGGTGGAGAGGTGACAGCCATTTGAAGCTTTGTTCAATGATGATCCGTAGAGTGGCGATTTGATCAATACATGATTTGTTTCTCATGAATCCGGCCTGTTCCGGTCGAAGTTTTTCATCTAGGGCTTGTTTGGTTCTCTCCAGGATGATGTGGCTTAGTATCTTGCTTGGAATGGACAGAAGCATAATTCCACGCCAGTTTTTACATTGACTTAAGTCTCCTTCCTTCGGTAGTTTGAATAAGTATCCTTTCTTCCAATCCTCGGGTACTTTGCCCTCCTTCCACACCTTTTCCAGTAGTGGTGTCATCAAGTCCACTGTTGTCTCTGGGTCTATTTTCAAAGCTTCTGCTGGGATTTCATCTGCTCCTCCTGCTTTCCCAGCTTTTAGCATCTTGATTGCATTCAGGACTTCTGATTTCGTCGGGGGGTCAGTGTTCACTGGTAGTTATGCTTCCGTTGTTGGTATTGTTGGGCGCGTTGTAGGTGGCGGACGATTTAGAAGTCTTTTGAAGTGTTCAGCCCAGTGTCTTCTTTGTTCCACCTCTTTAGTGATTGACTTTCCATTGTCATCCTTTACTGGCTTAATCTGTGTCGAACTTTTTCCCGATAGGTGCTTAGTTGTTTGGTAGAGTGTGGCGAGGTCTCCTTTGCCTGCAGCTTGTTCTGCTTCACTTGACATGGCTTCATAATATTTTCTTTTGTCTTCCCTGGCACTCTTCTTCACTCTTTTGTTCAGTGTATTGTAGCTTACATTCAGCTCCTGTTGCTGTTGCTCGTCAGTGCACTGGATAATCTTCTGTTTCACTGTCCTTCTCTCTTCTATTAGTTTCCAGGTGTCCATATTGAGCCACTGTTTGTCCTTTCTCTTCTTTCTGCCTAGAACTTCTATGCAGGTTTGACTCCACACCGTTTTCAAGTTGTTCCAGTGCTTTTCGACGCTGACCTTTTCTCTGGTGTTGATTTGTGTCTCGGCTTTTTCCCTTATGTTTGCAATGAAGATGTCTTTTGTAGCCTGGTCCTTCAGCTTTTGAGTGTTGAACTTGGCTTTTGGTCTATCTGCAGCTCCAGTTTCCCTGAAAGCTTTTAGTTTGATTTGGATTGTCCCTTGTACGAGATAGTGGTCTGAGCCAACGTCTGCTCCTCTTGAAGTTTCTCAGAAACGCTTAGTAATAACGGACGCGAAAACCAAAACACCAATTGTTGACTTGAGGATTCTTTATTGTTACACCAACATATAAATCAAGTATGTCTAAGGTCTGTGAACAAATATTACAATAATAAATCACAATATTACTTCTGACGGTGTTTTAATCTTCTTTCTGAACAGCGACCGATGAGACGATGACTGTCGTATTGATGCCTCCGCGAAAATTGGGGAAGTTGGTTTTGAGCAAACAACCATGAATTGATCGTTCAATCTTCAACTACATTGACAATTAGAAACCACCTCAATATGCTCTTAACTGGATGAAGTTGTTGATCATCACACTTACTTACGAAGTGAAATCCAAATTATCGTTTTGATTTTAAGTAGAATTCTGGTAAGAATACAAAGAAATGTTTGATTTGTGTTCCGAAAGTCTCTGAAACATGACTATTAAAAGCATGAGCTATTTAGTAGGTGTTGTTTTCGTTGGTGTTCATAAGATGTCTAGATTTAGATGTACTCAGGTGTAACTGAATTGGTTGAAGAATTTCTTCAGGTGTCAAGTATACACACAATTGTTACACTAAGTGTATCACATTCATTCTAAACAGTGAAATTATACAAAGGGTCAGAAGTTGCTAGAATTTATTGGAAATTGATTGCGCATCTGATTAGATTATACTCAGTGATGAGAAGGAGCTTAAAGCAATAAGTTTCACAGCTACACAGTTTTTCTGGTTGTAGAGAAATTCGAGCATTCATCTGATGACAAGTTTATTTCTCCCATGTTTCTATAGGTTAGAGTGAATGGAGGCTACTGTCAAATCATCGGTGAAAGTGACTCATCTTACGGATGAAGTGTATGTAAATATAAACCTAGAGCTAAAACACTTTTGCAGCATACAGTATGATGCACATTTTCCTTAAGTTATGAAAAAATGTAGTCTTATACAAATATCTTTCCGACTGAAAGCACATTATAAACACGCTTTTGTCAATGATACGACAATACATGCCACTTACCAATTATGTGAGACCCACTCATTATCCTCTCAAGAAATGTCTGATGTGAAAATACCTGCGCAACTAATTCAATCTACAAGTATAACAGATATGTGAACCAATTATAAAAACTGCTTTTAATACGTTCCTCCACACACCATTCTTAACCTTCAGGTTGAATTATAACTTAAGAGACTGTGATTTATGTTAACCACTTAGAATTCTAGAGATCTGGAGGAGGATATGATATCCTTTAGGAACTGAACGTATCTGAGTATCATATCAACAAAACACTACATCTAATAACCTGTTGTCGTTATAAATGTGTCAAATATTTATGATAAGAAGATAGTAGTGATTGTGTATTGCCTTCGCAGATAAATTCGTGTAGAGATAAGCCTGTCGTTGTCAATCGGCCATCAACAGATCATTTGGTGTGATCTAATCCAGCATGCTGGTTTACACTACTGATGGATATGAGCAGTTAGAAACTACTCAATCTAATCATCACTTGATGACCAGATAGCATTAATCTAAACACTGAAGAGACAAGTGTAGTCATGGATACATGTTATACGTGTTTGCCGGTTCAATCCTATAAGGGTCAACGGAAGTGCATAATACAAGATAGACCAAGATATCCTTCTGATGCTGCTGGTATTTGATAGTGTTACGACCTCTTAAAATTCCGGCTACCATAACTTCCGTCAGACTGGAAAACTTAGTGGATACAGAGCACTAGATTGATAAGAACTCAGTTCCACACGAGGCGTCAACTAAGTTCTGCAGATTTGTAAGCCTTCGACTGCTAAGCACTTCTGAAGCAGTTGCCACAAAACATTCCAACCCAATTTGTGATCAGAAAATGTTTGTCCAGTCGGTCTCCCTCCTGTGGACCTTCACTCCCTAACTAGAATAGTTTCCTCTCCTGGTGATAACTGTTATTATTATCTTTATCTTTAATGTTACCTGTATCTTTTTATCATCGTCACGTGGTATTACAATTCTACGTTTTGATCATGGTTCCGAAATTTATTATGAAACCAAGAACTATATTACTTAGGCGCTACCAGACAGTTATTTTTCCTCTATATCCCTACAAATATACAGATTCACATTGATTGACGCTTGATAAACTTATTCTTGTTATAATAACTCAAATCAACTCGATTATTATCCACTGATGCATATGCCTGAACTTTAATTCCATCAGTATCGCTATTCCCAAGGTAATTCCCGATTCGCCATTTACACACCTAGTGGTGAAATTCCACAGTATGTGATCTGCTTGATGCCATAAATAGCAGTCGACCTGAAAATCGCGAATTCAGTTCAATCTTTTGCCAGTTCGCCTAGGTAGCTAGCTGGAATTCGGATGGTTTCAACTGACTTGGTTCTGATCTGAGTAGGATACATCACTGACGACCTCGGCCTTGGACGGGCGGGAATTTGTTCCGTGTTTAGATCACCTCAATCTGAATGGCAATCACTACTGATTGTTGCCAGTGGTGTCCAACTACTCATGTCAATCGATGAATCAATCAATAGTAAGTAGCGGCATGCATAAATGTGAACTTTATTTCTACTGACCAAATTGGCATTGAATGTTTGGGATTAATCAGCTCACTATCTAACTGTAAAGCCTAGTGAGAAATCATTGCGCTCTCAAATTTAGTGAGTTATCAGTTCTTTATATTAGTCTACATAGAATCCATTTCGGGTGTTTTAGACTTATTCGACTCTGAGTTCAGTTCATTAGGTACGCCGCTGATGAGCTCGGTGCCAAACGAACGAAAAAGTTGTCCGGCGTTTAGATCAATTCCATCTGGCTAGTAGGAACTACTGATTAACGTGACTGATTCCCGACCACTCATATCAATCCACAGTATACACCATCATGCTCTTCTCATTAGCTTTCTTCATTGTCATTTATGGGATCAAGCTGAGAATATATTGTGATGTTGATATTAGGGATTTCCACTGAAGTTTTCACCTGTAACTGGTGAAATCACAAATTTAACTGGGTCAAATGTGGCTTCGTTGTACGTAGTCTCTCTATTCACCAATGTCACCTTAACGGAAATTGTAGGCTACTTATGTGAGTCTATTACCTCGAATAATCTCAATTTTGGCATATCCACTAAGTATATCACACAAATAACACTAAGACGCACCCACCAAATGTTCAGTTTTTATTCAATGGTCAATTGTGCGGCCAGAAGGATAAAGTGACAATGGATTTTCTACTTGGTCCATTGCTTCATGGCGTACCTTAAGGCATATATCATCCTACCAGAAATCAAACAGTTCGAAGTGTGCAATCGGTATATAGATGATATATTTCTCATCACCGATGAAAATACTGACCTCAACAAAATCCTGTAAATCTTCAGAAACTCTCACTAATCAGTCGAACTGAAAATTGAAGCGGAATCAAAAAGTAAATTACCCTTCCTAGATGTCCAACTTACAAGACGATCAGATGGAAGCCTACAAAGATCAATTTACCGGAAGCCAAAATGGAATGGACATCTGACAAACTATTACAATTTTGTTCCGATGAACAAAAAAGAAATCTCATCGCATCATCTTGTGCACAGTAAACAAGCACTATGATACATACCTAGATGTTACCTTCCTTCATCCAATACTCTTAAGGCGAGATTCATTGAAATTAAACACAAAATTAAAACATGTTAAACAGGCATTACTACCCAGTAATTAATCGCCAGAATACATTGAAATGTTAGTGAGATGTGATAAGGGGAAAATTAAAGACTGAGTGACCGGAAGATGAAGTCCAGAGCTCCTATGTTGCTGCCGTAAAGTGAAAGGATAAAAAACAACTTCATCATCTCCTTAAAGAAACTGAAACTAGAGCAGCTGTATATTCACTAATTATCTAAAAACGAAGCTGCCTTAATCGTCAGAAGGGCGAAATCATTCAGCCTATAAAATGTCACATAGTCAGCTTGCAGTGAGGTATAAAGGTTGAAGCAGTCTGACGGAGTCAGTCAGAAAACCTGAGCACAAAAGATTTACAAGAGAAATGAGGACAGTGGACATCCCCGACGGCCACCACTGGTTGTTATGACTTCAGAGACATCTCTCCGTAGGCCCTTACCTGACTGTATGAGTTCGAGTGGAGTGCCTTGATTAGTGCGATGTATTTCCTCGGCATACCCTCCACGACCAAATATTGCCATAGTACCTATCAGTCGACGGAATCGAATTCCGCTTTCAGGTCAAGAAATATGACAATTGTTGAACGTCGGTAAGCATGCCTATGTCCTAGAATCTGTGAAGTGTGAAGATATGACCAAAACACCCTCTTCCTGGTCTAAAGCCTGCCTGATTTTCTCGTGTTTGTTCCTCTCGAGCACCACTTAGTCTACCCATGATTATTGAGCCTGGAACTGTAGATGCCACCATATTAGTCAAAAAATAAATCATCAGGAAAAATCACGGTTTCCCTAATTCGTGGGCTGACGCTCGGTATGGTGGGATAGAGCGTGAAATCTAAAATCTAATATAATCAGTACAAAATCGATCGTGGAGTCTTTATTTAATCTACACCGAACACACACACACAACTGCGATAACTGGAAACCCATAAAAGGTACTTGGAAAATTCTGTTGCCAATATACCTATCTTC